CACAGTCACCAGTTGAGTATCCTGAGGGTGTCGTGTACGTGTTACCGCATCTGGTGTAGGAGTTTTGGTTGTATCCAGAGCCGTCGGATATGTGGATATCATGACCAACCCCAAAGGTGGGTCCATACGTATTACATCTGTACATTGCATATTGCTGATGTCGGTATTGTGTCAACTTTACGGGATGGTATCCATTGACGTTATAGAGAGAGAAAATGAAAGCTTTTCTGGCGTAGGAATAACCTGCGCAAGAACCAGCTGAAATAAAGAACAATGTAGTTTTACATTTAAAAAGTTGGAAGAAAACATAAACCCCCTGAGAAGGGGGGGGGGGCAGTTCTTATTCTATCATTAGCTAGACGAGGAGTTTTTTTCTTCCAGACTAGCGATTTATAAAAGGGAGGGAGATATGTTACTAGTTTGGGTATTGAAACGGATACCAAAAACAATTATGAAAGATTTGAGGGATTAGTGTGAAGAAAAGCGAGTAAATGTTTTGAGACTTAAAGGAAAAGATCCCTTTGTTCTAAGTGTTGTCATTACTAGACATGTTAGGATGTAATGTTGTTCTGCAGGTGTATCAAATAGGAAACATTTCTATAGACGATATAGGTGTGAAGAAATCTTGATGGCCAAAAAATTAATATGAAATAATAAAGGCTTAGAGCTAGTATCAAAGAAGCATCGTTAACTATTTCCTCTATTGTCCTTGCCCCCCCCCCCCCCCCCCTCCTCGTAAATCCCAAAAGGAATGATACTTGATCCTATAAAATTATCTTGTTCTCTCTTTAAAAATTTGATATGCCTGCCTCCGCTCCAGGACACATCAGTATATCCACCAAATATGTAATCGTTCACTTTGATGATTGTCACTGTAGGTCCTCTCCCATCGCAGTTGCTGTGGAATGTCGATGCCGCCCAGCCGTCAGTCTTCGCATGCCAACACCTAACAAAGTCAGTACGGGATGCAGTGGGAAGAACTGGGTCTAAAAACGAAATCAGCTTTCCCAAATACTTATTGGGGTCCAGGCCTCTAAGCATAATAGATTCACCAAGGCCACCTGTGTGCATAAAAGAAACTCAAATGTAAATTACAATAGCAGACGTTCTAGAGTATAGAAAGATGTTATTTCTTCTTTCACAACCGAGGGAGTTTTTCACAAAAATTAGGGTCCCACATCTTATTCACAGGACAAGGTGATCCCATTCAAACTCAATATTTCCCTGTGCACTTATTGTGTGACGAACTTAAATGAATGCG